GCCAGAGGCGGAGAGCGCCGAGAGGCCGCCGCCGAAGCCCTGCACGAGCATCTCCACCGCGCCGACGGCGTACGCCTGTGGGGGAGAGGGGAGGGGAGGAGGGGGGTGGAGGAGGGGGAGGGGGGGTGCAGCCGAGGCGAGGGACACTTCCCGGACATGGCTTGGATGTGTCCTCGCACGAGAGGGGGAGGGGAGCGCACTCGCCTCACAGCCGAGCGACAGCCGATAGACAGCCGAGAAATGGTAGATAGAGAGAGAGAGAGAGAGAGAGAGAGAGAGAGAGAGAGAGAGAGTGAGTGAGAGAGAGAGAGAGAGAGAGAGAGAGAGAGAGAGAGAGAGAGAAGAGAGAGAGAGAGAGAGAGAGAGAGAGAGAGAGAGAGAGAGAGAGAGAGAGAGAGAGAGAGAGAGAGAGGGAGGGAGGGAGCGAGCGAGGAGAGAGAGAGAGAGGACACATAGCCGAGCTATTCCCGGCAGGCGTGTGGAGCGAGTTCGGAGGCGGACCTAGCCGAGATCTAGCCAAACTGTGGCGGGCCAATGGCGTGAGATAGTGATCTTTCGGGGCGCCTCGGGGACGCCGTCAGCGAGCTCGACTGCGCGGGAGAGCGCGAGGCCGATGAAGCCGATCGTGCCGATACCCGAGAGTGCCATCAGACCTGTTCACAGCAGCGGCCCCTGTGAAGAGAGGCGCCGTTCACAGCTCCGCGTCTTCCTGCGGGGGGGGGGAGCATCGGGCCGGCGAGGAGCGGGAAGAGGGTCGCGGGGGGCAGCGTCGGGGCGACGTGAGGCGTAGAGAGCAGCGCGAGGGCGGTGAGGGAGAGCGCGGCGAGGAGGGCGAGGGCGAGGACGACACCCTCCGCCGACCGCCGAGGGACAACAGCGCCGAGGCACAGGCCGCATAGCACGCCTGTGCGGCCGAGATCGCGCGAGATCGCGCGAGATCACGCGAGATCATCCGAGATGCGGCCGGGCCGCACGCCCGAGAGGAGGGAGGCGGCTGCCTCCGAGCTGCATCTGAGCTGCACCTCGGCTACACCTCTCGGCTGCCCCTCGGCTGCCTCTCGGCTGCCTCTCGGCTGCACCTCGGCTGCCTCTCGGCTGCCTCTCGGCTGTCTCTCGGCTGCACCTCGGGTGCATCTCGGCTGTGTCTCGGCTGTGTCTCGGCTGTCTCTCGGCTGTGTCTCGGCTGCATCTCGCCGGAGAGGATGAAGGAGAGGTTGGTGACGGTTGTGTGGCCGGTGTCGAATCCAGACCAAGCGCTGCCCGCGCCATAGCAGCTAGAGCTGTTCACACACGGACAGCTGTGAAGAGAGATGCGGGGAGATGTGGGGAGGTATGGGGAGATGCGGGGAGATGTGGGGAGATGTGGGGAGATCGGCTGCACCCGAACAGCACGTCCTGTGCCGACGGCACCGAGAAGCCGATCCCGCCTAGTGAGGTCGAGATATGGTCGAGATCTGGTCGAGATATTGCCGAGGCATGGCCTCGAGATCTGGTCGAGATCCGGTCGAGATCTGGTCGAGATGCGGGCGAGATATGGCCGAGATGCGGCCGAGGTCTGCCTCGTGGAGGCCTCGAGATGCGGCCTCGAGATGGCAGAGAGATGCAGCGCGGAGAAGTGGCCGAGATGTGCAGCGGAGACTCCCGCCAATCTCCCGCCAATCTCGCGCCAATATCGCGCCAATCTCGCCAATCTCCCGCCAATCTCCCGCCAATCTCCCGCCTATCTCCCGGCTATCTCCCGGCTATCTCCCGCCGATGGCCGCGTAGGGAACGGCGCGCCGCCAGAACGGGCCGTTGCTGGCGAGCGAGCGGAGCGCGGATGAGGCGTTCGACGCAGCGGCGCCGGCCTGCGGTGTGAATACGCCAGCATGAGGGCGGGAAGACGGTACTGTGCAGCGCCTTCAGAGCACCGCGTGAGGACGAGAGAGGCGACAGTGAAGACTGCAGAAGAGGGTCGAATGCAGCGGAGTGCGTGTCCTCTCGAGCGCTGGTTCGAATCCAAGAACCGTCTTCCTCTTCTAGGGGCGCCGGCCGCGCTGGCGGTGGAGGAGGCGAGCTGTTCACAGGTTCACAGCTCAGGCGGTCGTATCCGGCTGCATCTCGGCGAGATCTCGGCGAGATCTCGGCTGCATCTCGGCTGCATCTCGGCGAGATCGCGGCTGCATCTCGACGCTATCTCGACGCGATCTCGGCGCCACCTCGGCTACCGCGCCGGCGCTCTATCTCGGCTCAATCCAGGCTCTGTCTCGGCTCCATCTCGGCTGCCGTGTCGGGCTGCTGCTGGTCTGCGGCGCGGCGGTCGCGGTAGAGGAAGAGGCAGAGAGGCACGCAGCAAGAGATGGCGACGGCCTGCCACCCGAACACTGCTCTCGCACGCTCCGCCTCGCCCGCCTCGCCCGCGCCGATGAGCGAGCCCAGCGCCCAGCCGAGGTAGTTGGACTGGACCGCTATCGAGGTCGCCAAGCCGCGGTGCGAAGGGCGGAACCAGCGCTCAGAGACGGCGGTGAAGGAGCAGACGACGACCGCCGCCGCGCCGCCGCAGACGAGGCTGGAGAGGACCGCGAGCGCATACGAGGAGCGGACGACAGCGAGGTATCGGAGCCATCCTCCTGCGACGTTGAGCGCATTGGCGAACGCGACCGTGCTCCAGTGATGCCGCACGACTCCCCACGCGGCGAGCGGCATCACAGGCACGACGGAGAGGAGGAAGAGGGAGTAGAGGAGAGCGACGTCAGCCTCGCCGGATCGAAGCAGCCGCTCGTTTAGCCCGTAGTCATCCGAAAAGTCCATGCACATGAAGGCGTTTGAAGCGGAGAGGTACGAGAAGGAGCCGAGCACCGCCCAACGCCAGCCGCTGCGCCACGCAGCCGGGCCCTCGGGTGTCACCCGCGAATGCGGAGGCGGTAGGTGGTCAGCAGGCGAGCGTGAGGCCATCGCGAGGGCTCCGGCGGCGGCGGGCTAGGTGGATAATATTTGGCGGCGTTGGCCGCGAGGAGTAGCGAGGCGCGATACCAGGGCGGAGGCCGAAGCACAGCTGGCATTAAAATTCAAGCTGGCCCGATAGTGCCTCCCTCGCTTCGTCGAAGCGGCGCTTCTTACCCACACCCACCCCGCAGCATTCGTCGCCGGCGCGCGACACGTTCCCGACTTACTTTATTTTCTCTATGTAAATGGACTGTTTGTTAATGGTTCGATCCTCCCCAGAGTCGAACTGGCAGCCACTCGCACCGAGGAGGCGAGGTGTGGCTACGTGACCCGAAAAGGCCAGAGTCGAGAGCAACCCTCGAGCTGGGTCGCTCATATACTCAACACGCCCCCACGACGCAGCACGAGGTTGCTACTGTATCCGATACCGCCGTGTTTCGAGGTAGGGCAGGCGTTCCGGGACGCGAGTTCCCCCTTGGGCACTATTTTCGATCTTTTTCGTAGCTCACACACGAAGGGACTCAAATCTTCGCAGACCGCCGTCGACCTGGGAGATCTCACCGGAGGTACCATGGTTCGATCCTCCCCAGAGTCGAACTGGCAGCCACTCGCACCGAGGAGGCGAGGTGTGGCTACGTGACCCGAAAAGGCCAGAGTCGAGAGCAACCCTCGAGCTGGGTCGCTCATATACTCAACACTGTTGTAACCGACCGGCAACGTCGGCGAGGAGTCGAAGACACAGCACATGCACGCATAATGCCACGCCCCGACGTCGACCGACCGGCCGGCCTCGACGCGCGGCGGCTAGTCGCCTTCAAGGCCTGCGTCGACGAACTCTCTCGGCTGAGCGCCGGCCGCGGCGAGGACGGCGCACTTCTCGCTCACGCTCGAGCAGCCCTTGTGCTAAGCGGGTACCTGCGGCGCACGTGCGACAGCGAGGAGACGATGGCGCAACTCATGCAGCAGGCAGCCACGCAAGCGCCTTCTGAATGCGCTTCGGCGGCTCCGTGCGAATAATTTTACCATATTGCCTGTTAGGCCAGCCAGTGCCGAGCCGCCTTTGCCCCGGACGGCTGCGATGTCTTTTTACATACGTGGACCAAGCTGGACAAGCCAGAGACCTATGGCGGGCGCTCGCCGAGGTACTTTCTCCTTCAACGTGGAGAGCTTCAGCGGTACACAGGCTGCCATCCTGGGAGCGAGTGCGAGCGCCAGCGCCGCCTCTCCAACACAAGCTCGTGGGAATGCGTCTCGCTGCTCTCCCAACGGCTCGGTCTCACCGCCGCCGCCGTCGAAGAGCAACACCTGGACGCAAGCAATGCGCCGCAAGCGTGGAGGGACTTCCTTCCTGGTGAACCGGAGGAAGCGTCCCTCATGCACCTCCGCAGCTTCGCCATGAACAGTGCGCCGCCTGCACTACTTACATTAGCCAGCACGCGACAGCCACAGTAGCAGGCAGCCTTACTTCGAAGATCGGGCCCCTCTCCTCCAAGCGACTGTCGATGTGCATAGGGACTGGGGCGACGGGATCACCTCCCACACCCTGTCATCTGAGCCGCGCAGGTGTCGGCATGATCGCGGGCATCAAGCTAATGACCTCACACGCGGAGGCGTTTAACTTGCAGTACCTCGCCGCCGTCCGCATGCGCTCCGACCTGTCCGAGTTTGCGAACCGAAGGGACTGGATCGAGCAGTTCCCGACTGTGCAACGCTGGGCCAGCGTGCGCAGGCTCGCGGTTGCGCATGCCGCGGGCGTGGCAGAGGCCAGACGGGATGAGGTGTTTGCTTGCGATCGGCCGCGGTCGAAGCGGTACGACTTTTGTCTTTGGAGCGTACCCGCCTTGCCCCTCGAGCGAGCGCTGCTCGGGCTGCACCGCCTCTTCGTCGCCCGCGGTTCGGAGCAGGCGCTCTCCGCGTGCCGCGACTACCTGAATCGGACAAAGCGAGTGCCGCTTTATGGCGAGGCGCCACTGATCTGTGCCATCGACGCGGCGGGAGTGAGGTTCCGGGTGTGAGTGAGTATTCTTGATACGAAACCACAAACACACACACCACACACACACAGGGGCGCGGAAGGCTGCTGGCATCCTGAAAATGCATGCACAGACACGTCCTATGCGCCGAGTGCGAGGCAGTGAAGGGAGAAAGGAGGGAGCACTACCGGGCGATGGGGAGAGGCGCGGCGCACGTGCTCAAGGCGCTACGATGGACGCCGCCGAAGTCAAGGAGGCGGACACTCGCCCACAGGCCCACACCGCAGAGTGCGAGGCCCAGGCGCTCGCTGTACGCGCCATTGCTGGGGCGACGAAGAGGTGCGCAGGGAGAAGGGAGAGCGACGAGGAATGGGAGGCGATGGAGCAACTGCTCACTGGAAGATGCCCGAGCCGAGCGTGATGGACACACGGGTGGTGACTTCACTCAACTGGCGGCGCGAGCGAGGGGAGGCGCTCGACGACGAGGCGCCGACCGTGATGGCGGAAGGCGACGAGGCGAGCAGTGCCCCACCAGCGGCGAAGAGGAAAAGGGGAAAGAAGAATTCTGGATTTAGTCTCTCACAGCACACTGGCACGATAAGGGCGCGGACTGGCGCGGACTGGCACACACACCGGCTCACCAGGGGAAAGAAGAAGACGGGGAAAAAGGCCGGGATGGGAACAAATCAAGTCAGTGACGAGAGGAACAGGGAGAGAGAGAGAGAGAGAGAGAGAGAGAGAGAGAGAGAGAAAACCGCCAATGGCCGTTATCCGTTAGTGCGGACGTCGCCGCGGCTCGCCTCTGCCGCGGCGGCTGCTGCGCGCACGCGGCGGCGCCGCTCTCTCGCGAGACGGCTGGCGACGCGGCTCGCCGCCGACGTACGGTGCGCTCGTCCGACGGTCCGCAGCGTGGCGTGCGCGGCGCTGAGCGCCGCTCTGCGAGCGCCTCTGCGCCTGCACTGCCTGTCTCTGTTGATGCTGGTGGTGGTGGTGCTGCTGCTGCTGGTGCCGATGCTGCTGCTGGCGCGGCGCGGCTGTGCGACTGGGCTCGACGCGCGCGTCGCGAGCGTCTGACGCGGCGGGCGGCGTCGGGCAGGTGCGCTTCTCCCTCGGGTGGTGGTGGTGGTGGTGCTGCTGCTGCTGGTGGTGCAGATGCTGCTGCTGGTGCGGCGCGGCTCTCCGACGCGACTCGATGCGCGCGTCGTGGCTATCTGACGCGGCGGGCGGCGTCGCGGGCGGCAGCGGTGGCGGCTCGACGGTGGAGGTGGAGGCTGGTGGCTGTGGTGGACTTTGAGTTTATTTCATGGTCGAGTACGGGGACCGGGGGGTCAACCGGGAGGCAGGGGGTTCAACCAGGCGACGGCGGACCGTGGGCCATCGCGGGGACGGCCCGCCGGAGGCGGGCTCGATTGATCCGGATGGTCTCACCCGGTGGGAGGCACCGAGGCGTCTTGGACGCTCAGCTCTACCTTAAGCTCCTGAGGGGCGCGTGGTTGTAACCACGTAGTAGGACTACAGCCCACCACAGACACCCTCCCCACTCCTCACGTGTACACACTCCCTCACCCTCTCCTCTCTCCTCTCTCTCTCTCTCCTCTCTCTCTCTCCTCTCCTTGTCTGTGCTGTCTGCCTGACTCAGGCACTAACTCTGCCGATGCGTGATTGTGTGTGGGCTGCTCCGAGGGGGCCCTCTGTGCGATCCGACGGGTAGGGGGGCTGTGCCCGGGCGGTGTCCGGTGCGGAGTCCCCTTCTGATCCCGCCTGGGATGTTGGGTGTGAGGTTGTGGCGGCTTCGATCCCAAGGGGGGGAGCTGATCCCACTCAATAACCAACTCTCAGGGGCAGTAGGTGGGCGAGCTTCAGGCACGCTCATCTCGATCGTCAAGACGTTGCTACGCGCGGTCTTCCGCGGGGGGAGCTGCGTCGACGGGTGCGGGACCGCGGCGCAGCCAGTGCCGCGGCGAGGCCTCCGGCTGTTTGCGGCGGGCGGCTTGCTGCTCGCTGCGATGGCGAAAAACTCGTCTCGCCACACGCCAAGGGCTTATGCTCTGGCGAGACGTGAGGCGCATGCGCCCAGGAGGGGAGGGGGCATGTGTAACGACACTGCTAGAGATGCCTTTCGGGGCCCAGAGATAAAACTTCTGTGATGCCATGCGTGACCTAGTAGTGTCCCCAGCTATGGGCGTGTCCACGTTGGAGCCAGGTGTGGTGTGGGCGCGAGAATAGCTCCGCCGTTCATGGAGGCAACCGATGCGAGTCGACTGGTGTGTGTCGTCGTGGTTTCGTATCAAGAATTCTCTCTCTCGGAACAGGGAGCGAGCGCGTGAATAGTGGTGTGAGCGTCTTGCGCCGAGCCTGTGAAGTAGAGAGCCTGAGTTACGTGTGAGGTGAGGTGGAGAGTATGTGCTGAGTGGGTGCCGTGGAGGGGTCGACGCCGAGCCAACTGCGCGCTCGACGACGCCCCTCGGGTGCCTGCGCGCCGACCACCCCCCGGTGTTTTGACACCATTATTCGGTATATTAACCTCGCGGCCGCCTAGATAGACTGAAAGAGTTAGACACCGCAGGGCTCGAAGTTGCTGCTGCGGCTGCTGTGCTGCTGCTGCGCTGTTACTGCTGCAGCCGCGCCACTACTGCACTACGGCTACCACCGACTGATACCAAGCTCTCCACCCAACAGCTTGCCCTCCCGCCCGCCCTCCCGCCCCCCCTCCCTCCTGCCGCCCCTCCCGCCCACCCGCCCGCCCGCCCGCCCTCTCTCCCCATCGCTCTTCCACAGCCATTCGCGCATCGATTGACATATAGGCGCTCGAGTGCTCCTCTCGCTGCCTACTCGCTGCCTCTAGGGAGGAGGGGAAGACGTTGGGCGCGCGCAACTGCGCTCGCCTGCACGGAGGCCCCTCCCCGAAAGGCAAGCATTAGACCCATGAAACCGAGACCCCTCCCCACCGCCCCGATCCCCCCACCCCCTTGCTCCCCTCCCCCCCTCGGGAGGGCCGAACTGAGGCGCCCGTGGGGACCCCGCAATTCCCTTCCCCCCTCGGAGGGGGCCGGACGGAGGCGTACCCCGTGGGCCCCGCTCTTTCCCTCGCATAGCGGCCCCACTCTTCGGATCGCTGGTCGAGCGACCCGGGGGATGCCCCGCGCGCCTGACCCAGGCGCGAGAAACGAATCTGCGAGGCGAGGCCGCTCACGCGGCCCGATGGGGAGGAACGGGGCGAGCCCCCTCCAACCCACCCGCGCTAGGTCTCGGGGGACGAAGGGGTCACACCCGACGACCTCGGGAACTAGCCGGGGCAGTCGGAGAAGTGGCAACTCCGTGCACTGACGGTCGGCCGCCAGAAAACACGCCTCCGTGGCTCGGGTTACACCAATCCTCGCTACCCAACGCGGCCAAAGGATAGATATATCCACCTCGAGAACCTCGAGGTCTCGGGTCTGCTCCGAACGTCGAGTTCGCTCGAGTCGAGCGCCAGGGACAGCACCTCCATTTTGAATGGCGACTCGCCGAGCGGCTCTCATCGGCGACGCGTTCGTCGACGTTCAGGTGGGCGGCGTAGGCGCGCTGCCCTGCTGGGGGACGGACGTCGCCTGCTCCTCTGTGCGACTACTGCCAGGAGGCGCCTGCGGCAACACCGCTCGGCAGCTCGGAGCGCTCGGCGGCTGCGAGCTCGAGGCCTTCTTCTACTCGTGCGTCGGCGACGACGAGCCTGGGCGGCACTACCTCCGCACGCTCGAGGCCGAGGGCAGCCTGACGTCGCCGTCGCGCACGCTCCGCCTGCTGCCGGGCGTGCCGCAGTCGTGCTGCGTCATCCTGTCCGGCAGCGAAGACCGCGCGATGTGCTCCTGCTACGAGACCGTGCACCGCGTCACGACAGGACTCTTCTCGGCGGAGCTGCTCGCAGAGTCGTGGGCGCTGGTGCACCTCGGAGGCTACTTCAACTGCGTCGGCTTGCACGACGACGCGCTGCTCGACCTGCTCCGCGCACTCAAGGCACGCTGGAGTGAGCATGGCATGGCCGCTCCACACCCCGTGTGTTCACACCCCCCGCTGTGAACCAAGGCGCGCGGCACGCTGCTCTCCATGGACCCACAGCACGACTGCTCCGGCAAGTGGAGCGGCGAGGGCGGCCACCTGCGCCGGCTTCCGCCGCTAGATGGGGGGATGGGGTCCTCTCGTCTTCCAAACTAGCACTCGAGAGGACACACGCACTCCGCCGCACTCCGCCGCACTCCGCTGCAGTCCGCCGCACTCGTGGCGCGGGTGTACAGAGAGGTCGATCAGAAACAAGAATGTCACATCGCAGACAGTGAGGGCGGGAGAGGCGGAAAGGGAGGTGCTTCACAGCGGGTGTTCACACTCGGGTACTCCGAAGACACTACGCGATGATACTGTGCTCACGCCCTGACTGGGTGTATCCGCGCCGTGTAGTCTTCTGCCGCTGCTCGACGTCTTTCTGCCAAACGAGGCAGAGGCGTGCGGCATCGCCTCTGTCGGCGAGCCCACCGCCGTCGCCACCGCCGAGGAGGTGAATGGGGGTAGTGAGTGAGTCAAGCATTCATTGATCAGTCAGTTGAGACACTCAGGCAAGACGCGCAAGCGCGCACCGCCAGCGGCACTTGCCACGCCCAGCGATCGCCCAAGCCTCGACAACACTCGTCTGAACGGGCTCATTAAAGGCCGTCTCGCCATGTGCGTGCGTGCTAGCCTCGCGGCGTGGGAGCTGTGCTGAAGTCCCTCGCCCTGAGTGAGCTGCGCACGTGCGCCCCCGCGCCCGATGTCTGCTTGTTGACCGACAGGCGATCGACCAGCTGACGGCGCGGCACCCCTCCACCTTGGTGGTGGTCAAGGTCGGGAGATATGGGGAGATGTGGGGAGATATGGGGAGATATCTCCACCTTGGTGGTGGTCAAGGTCGGCGGGCGCTCTCCTCTCGCGACGCCGTGAACGGCGTCTCTCCACCCCTCTTCCTCTGAGCAGGCCGGCGGGCGCGGTATTCTCGCTGGGCGAGGCGGCGAGCGGTGGGAGGTGCCGGCGGCGCCGGTGGAGGCGTTTGTCGACGCGACGGGCGCGGGCGACGTTTGCGAGGCGGGCCGCGGTGAAGTCTAGGCGCCGGTGACGGGCGCAGCTGTGAACAGGCGCGGGCGACGCCTGCTCCGCCGGCTTCCTCGCGCAGGTGTTTCGGTGTGGAGATGCGAGGGGCTGCCTGGCGTTTGCCCCACCCCCCTTGCGTGTGCGGAGAAGCGTACTTGTCTCGCTACTTTGCCCTGCTGTCCTTCTTACCGTGCCCCTCCCCACCGCAGTATCTGCGCGACCCGGCGGACGTGCCCACCGCGTTGCGGTGGGGCGCGGCAGTGGGTGCGCTCTGCGTGAGCCGCGCGGGCGCATGCGAGACGCCGCTGGCGGCGGAGGAGGTGCGGGCCGTGCTCGAGTGCGGCGCCGTCAGGAGAAGCGCCGATGTCAGTGATGGGTGCGTCTAGGAAGTGTATTGAATGTAGAGTAGTCGCGGAGCTGCTGACAGAGTGTTGTGAGTCTCTGGCCGGCGCGGGGCCCCCCGGAGGCACCGTGCGCCGTGCCGCAGTGCGGAAACGGGGCTCCGGCGCTCAGAGTCGCTCAGAGCACCAACTTCCCGATTAAGTACGGTTAAGTAGAGGGCAGATTTGGAGAGATCTCGAGGAGTACACACAGATAGACCCTCCAACCATCAGAAACCTCCAACCTGATCGGTCGTACTGACCGCCGACAGATCACTCCAGACAGCAGACAGGCCGACCCGGCACCAACTTGATTCCCGGATCGGCGTCTCACGGCCGGGTCGCGGGACGGGGAGGGAGGGGGGTCGATCCGTAAATCCGTAAATCCGTAAATTTGTAACCAAAAGCCACCAGGGAGTCCCCCACCGCACCCAGCTACCAGGCAGGCAGAGACTCAGCGCTCGCGACATGCTGAGAAGCCGGGGGCTGGCCTCTCCAATGCTCGCGCAGCGCTGTCTGCACGCGCAGGCAGCGCTCTCCGGGGTCCGGGCGGCCCACACGGTGGGAGGGTCGACGACCGTACGACTGTAACGCTACGTATATCTCTTAACAATCACTTGTTCGCGCTTGCGCTGCGCCTCTGCGAGTGCGTCTATCAACCCCTCACGCGTGCGCATAATCCCCTCCATCTTGTCGTACAGCCTTGACCTCTCTGCCTCTGCGGCATCAGCGCGCCTCGCCTCTGCCTCCATCGAAATCTGCAGCGCGTCGAGCTGCTCGCGCAGCTCGGCCTGCATCTTGGCCCGCATCTCGCCGATACGCCACTCACACTCAGCTCGATCGAGCTGCATGATTTGCCTGGTCGGCCTTGATCGAGCTGCATGATCCGCTCAGCCGCTTTGATGTCGCGTTTAGCAGCCTGCTGCGCTGTCCTCAGGTTGTCGCAGTCGGAGCGCCTCAGCTCTTGTGCCGCAGCAAGCTCATCCCGCGCCGACGCGAGCGCCTTCTTCATAGCGTTCGCAGAGCGCTGCTCAGAAGCGAGCTCCTTGGTCTGTGACCGCAACTTCTCTTCCAACTCCTGCCGGAGCAGCATCTCAGCAGTCGCACTACTCGCGACTGCATGGATGTCCGAGCCCTTTAGCGTGGTTTGCGCGTCTGTGCTGACGAGAGTGCGGGAGATGCTGCCCTCGTGCTGAACAGAGATTGCGCCAGCGGTAGCAGTGCTGCTTTGGCACACAACAACATTGCTCGTGGCCGAGCTGGCATAAACCGCCGCACCAGCCTCTGCGGCTGCAGCGGTGCTTCGGACCGCGTCGAGCACCGCGCCTGTATCGTGCATGAGCACAGCCTCGAACATACTGAGGTTGGCTATTCCGAGTTCGTTGAGCAGGCGCTCCAGCACAATGCTGAGCTGCGTCGGTCGGTGCAATTTGTCGACGTGACGTCGCCGAAAGTCCTTCCGAAAAGTACGTCTAACTAGCTGGGGCACGCTCCCATGCGGCTGGGGGCCGCTCTCCAGCTCGATTAGGGCGCTTTTCGCGCGATTTTACGGAATTACGGATTGGAGGGGGGTGGCGGCACATAGGGGGAGGGGGGACGCCGATCCGGGAATCAAGTTGGTGCCGGGACGTCTGCACGCGGCCGGCCGGGCGAGAGGCTTGACACGATCCGACCCTGCGACCCTGACGCTGCTGCTCTAGCTATCAGCCATGCACTGCTGACTGCTGCCACAATGTGCGACCTGTGCTGGCCCACTTGGCGGCCTTCCCGGTCAGTGGTGAGGCGCAGTTCAGAGCTGTCGATGGCGCGATGCCGCACTGGCCTCCACGACGGCGGTCGGCGCGGCAGAGGTGGCGACCGGTCCTGAGCGCCTCCCTCCTGAGGCTGAGCACACCGACAATGCTTGCTCGCTGCAAGCACCGGACTCAGACAAGGGTGCACCGTCGTCAGATCCTTGGGCACCACGCATGCACTACACGGTCGACGTCGCTCCGTCCAAGCGGACAGCATGCCACGAGTGTGGGCGTGCCTTCAATTCAGGTGCCGAGAGAAAGCACAACGCACACATGCATCCCGTCCCATGTGAGACCGGAGTGTACCCCCGCTTCTCACACAGGCGAGCTGCGCGTTGCGCACGTCTTCACCTGCACCGCGTACGGCAACGTGTGCTCCAAGACGCGCTGGTTCCACGTGGACCACTGTGACGTGCCCCCCGATGGATGGTGCAGCGTGCAGGGCTACGACCTGCTAGAGCCCACGGCTCGGAGGTGTGCCGCTCCTGAAACATGGATATGCGACCCTCCCCGTCCCGCTCTTTACGTGCGATTGTGAGGTGCTGCAGGGTCCTCGAGGGGCGGGCCGTCTGCTCGACGCTCTTCGTGGCGCATTTGTCGCCTACCACAAGGAGCACGCACGGCTGATGGTGGTAAGCGGCACCGCAAATCTCAGCCACCTCCGCAAGGGTTGATGTGGTGGCCCTCCAGTACCACATAATCAGCGGCCTGCTGAAATACTACGAGGCGAACGAGGCGCAGAGCGGAAGGTGCGCATGGAGCTCGCCGACGGCCGGGTGCATTACTACAAGGGCGAGACAGGTGCTGAGCGGGTGGTGCGCGATGATGCAGTACTTCGAGGGCGAGAAAGGTGCGGAGAGGATGGTGACATGGAATTCGCCGATGGCCAGGCGAATTGCTTTGAGCGGTGCGCACCGAGGTTTGCCAACGGCCGGGTGCCCGACTATTGACTAGAGCTATTCGCGTTACGAGAAAAACACGTTTGACTTGCAGGCGCCACGCGTAGAGCTGTAGCGCGTACGCGTGTCTCTCTGCGAGTCTCGTTACTGCTGTGTGCTGACGATGTTGCGCGTTTTCAGTCTCGCAGGGATCGTGGACGCGAAAGTAGCCGGTGGGTCCTGTTTGAGAGTTGCCAGAGTTGCGTCGTCTCGAACGCGTCGAAGTCGGGGTGTGGTGTCGGGTGTGCGCGCAAGAAAATTGTCCGTAACGGATCGCGATATTTGAACCGGAGAGACGGCACGCGCGCAGAACGCGCGACACATAAACTACGACTCAGCCCTTCGGCCCTGCAGACTGCACACTCGCAGTGTGGCCCCGCCGTGCGCTCAGCGCTTAGACCATCGCCCCATTCCCCGACGCGCCCGCCGCTCCGACGGCCTTACTGACACCGCCTTGCTGCGACAACGCATCCGCGGCCTTGCCTTCACCGCCGCTGCTGCCGACCCGGTGCTCCGCGGCGTCGGAGCCTGCCGCCGCCACCGGAGCTTCTTGAACGACGCCCCAGCCGCCGCTGGAGCCGCCGCAACTGTTCGCCGAGGCGAGTCGCGAGCGCGGCGTGGTGGGCCTCGAGAGCCTAGCGGTGAATACGCCAACCTCGGGGCGGGACTTCGGTATTCTGCAGTGTACTCAGAGCACTGCCTGACGACGAGGGGCACGGGCACTGTGAAAACAGCATCAATCCGTGCCCTCTCGCGCGCTAGTTGGAATGCAAGACTACGGTCTTCCGCTTCTAGGCTCGCGAGCTTGCCCGCGATTGTCCGCCGGCCGGGCGAGGACGCCGAGGAGGAGGGCGAGGCGAGCGAGGAGGGCGAGGCGAGGGAGGGGGGCGGTCCCAGCGAGGCAAGACCCGACGAGACGGAGGAGAGGTCGAGGAACGCGGCGAGCCGCTCGAGCGCGTCGGTGGCGGGGTGTGAGGCGAGGATGCCCAGCGCGTTCCGCAAGTACTGCTCGAGCACCTGCGCGCGCTTCGCCTTGAAGGTGTCGTCTGGCGGTGCGAGCGGTAGCTTTGCGGGCGACGCCAGCGCCAGACCGAGTGCCTCACCGGCACCGGTGTGCAGCCTACGCGCTAAACACACCGACCTCGGCGCAGACTTCGGTACGGTGCAGGGTATTCAGAGCACCGCGTGAGTACGAGGCAGGCCACCACAGCGGAATACGGCTGAATGTAGCTGAATATGCGTCATCGCAAGCGCTGGTTGGATCACAAGAATGCGTAGCCTGCTTCTAGAGTGGCAGCCCTCGGAAGTCATTGAACCGCTTGTGCAGCCGGCGAGTGGGCGCCTCCACGTCCTTCACAGACGCGGAACCCGGCTCCTTCACCTCGATCACGTAGTGCGTCACGCCCTCGCGGTCCTCCCAGCCCGCCACCCGCACGGCGGACGGCCGCGGCAGCCGTCGCGAATACGCCACCGGCGAGGCGGCGCCCGCCATCACCTCGCATGACACGGGGTCGTCCGAACGCACATGGTCGTCCTCAATCAGGCGCTGCCCGCCCACGCCTCTCTGGCCCGCCACGCCTCTCATGGTGGCGCGCGTGGCGGTGGCGCGCGCGCCGCTCGGCGGTCCCGCCGCTCGCGCAAACATAGTGAGCACAGTGAGCAGCAGGAAGAGCGTGCCGACGATGGCGAGCGTCAGTTTCAGCTCGGACGCGTCGTCCCACGCTTCGCCGGAAGCGAGCGTGTAACTGGTGGTGCCCTCGAGCACCTCGCCGTCCTGGTAATCCCTTCGCATCCGACCACACGGTTTGAGCGGCGAGACTCTCGCGAAGGACGTCCAGCGAAGGCAGAAAAGAATTCTCCGCGTTCAGCGGAGCTGGGAATAGTGTGTGTGTGTGTGTGTGTGAAACCGCCAATGGCCGTTATCCGTTAGTGCGGACGTCGCCGCGGCTCGCCTCTGCCGCGGCGGCTGCTGCGCGCACGCGGCGGCGCCGCTCTCTCGCGAGACGGCTGGCGACGCGGCTCGCCGCCGACGTACGGTGCGCTCGTCCGACGGTCCGCAGCGTGGCGTGCGCGGCGCTGCGCGCCGCTCTGCGAGCGCTTCTGCGCCTGCACTGCCTGTCTCTGTTGCTGCTGGTGGTGGTGGTGGTGGTGCTGCTGCTGGTGCAGATGCTGCTGCTGGCGCGGCGCGGCTCTGCGACTGGGCTCGACGCGCGCGTCGCGAGCGTCTGACGCGGCGGGCGGCGTCGGGCAGGTGCGCTTCTCTCTCGGGTGGTGGTGGTGCTGCTGCTGCTGCTGGTGGTGCAGATGCTCCTGCTGGTGCGGCGCGGCTCTCCGACTCGACTCGAAGCGCGCGTCGCGGCTATCTGACGCGGCGGGCGGCGTCGCGGGCGGCAGCGGTGGGGGCTCGCGGGTGGAGGTGGAGGCTGGAGGCGTGGTGGGTCTTTGAGTTTATTTCATGATGGACTACGAGGAGTGGGGGTCAACCGGGAGGCAGGGGGTTCAACCAGGCGACGGAGGACCGTGGGCCATCGCGGGGACTGCTGCGTACGGACGACGCGGCAGATAGATCCGGATGGTCTCACCCGGTGGGTGGCACCGAGGCGTCTTGGACGCTCAGCTCTACCTTAAGCTCCTGAGGGGCGCGTGGTTGTAACCACGTAGTAGGACTACAGCCCACCACAGACACCCTCCCCCACTCCTCACGTGTGTTCACACCCTCACCCTCTCCTCTCTCCTCTCTCTCTCTCTCTCTCTCCTCTCTCTCCTCTTGTCTGTGCTGTCTGCCTGACTCAGGCACTCAATCTGCCGATGCGTGATTGTGTGTGGGCTGCTCCGAGGGGGCCCTCTGTGCGATCCGACGGGTAGGGGGGCTGTGCCCGGGCGGTGTCCGGTGTGGAGTCCCCTTCTGATCCCGCCTGGGATGTTGGGTGTGAGGTTGTGGCGGCTTCGATCCCAAGGGGGGGAGCTGATCCCACTCAATAACCAACTCTCAGGGGCAGTAGGTGGGCGAGCTTCAGGCACGCTCATCTCGATCGTCAAGACGTCGCTACGCGCGGTCTTCCGCGGGGGGAGCTGCGTCGACGGGTGCGGGACCGCGGCGCAGCCAGTGCCGCGGCGAGGCCTCCGGCTGCTGCGGCGGGCGGCTTGCTGCTCGCAGCGATGGCGAAAAACTCGTCTCGCCACACGCCAAGGGCTTATGCTCTGGCGAGACGTGAGGCGCATAGGAGGGGAGGGGGCATGTGTAACGACACTGCTAGCCGATGGCGTTCTCGCGAGCAACCATCATCATGCGCTTCGTCTTCTTCTTCTTCTTCTTCTTCTTCTACAGCCGGGGGGAGCGCACGGGTTGCGGCAGCGGAGCCGAAGCCACAACCGGATACTGAAAGCACTGCTGCGCAAAGCACGTTTCGCGCTGACCACCTGCGAGCATTTCTGCTCAGTCTCCCGATCGCGCTGGCTCGTGTGGCGGACGGGCGGCGCCTGCGTGTCACCTGGCTCGTGGCGACCTTCTTGCTCGCCGCCGGCACCTTGGCTGCGATCAGCCCCATCATGCTACTGTACATGAACGAGCTGCGGTACTCCGCGGAGGACGCCGCGCTGGTCGCCACCCTGCTTGCGGTCATGAGCGCCCCACAGCTCTTCCTCGCCCTGTTTCTCATCCGGCTCTTTGATTCGACCGAGATGGTCAACTCCGTGCTGGCGCTCCTTGCATCCACGGGCCCGTTTTTTCTCCTCGCAGGCACGACCGTCAGTGTGACTTTCCTCTTCCCGTTTGCCAGCAGCGCGGCGTTTTCCGTCTTCCCTCTCACTCGCACAATCTTCTCCGGACTCGTGCCGATGGAGATGGTGGGACTCACGCTCGCCGGCCTCGGAATGCTGGAGAATATCTCGACCAGCGTCTTCACTGCCAGCTTTCTTACGATCTATGGATCCTCGGAGCTGCTCGCGCTCGTCGGCCTCTCGATGGCGATGCTGCTGTGTGCGGTCTGCTCCGGCCTCGCGGCGCGCTGGGGAGGCACGGAGTAAAGCAAGGTCGATCTTGGAGCCGGAAACGCCGAATGCTTGTGGTGAGATGGCAGGCCTCGCGCCCGGTTTATTACTGGATGCCGTTGCGCGTACGTGATGTGAAATAGATAGTGGGTGTGTCACCACCACCCGGAATGTAGAGAGGGTGCCGTGGGTGCGACGCAAAAAAAACGTATGTGACGTGTCGTCGCGTCAGAGAATCGCATGATCGCCGAGCACGCAAGGTTCGCAGCAGGTCGGCATCACACAACCGCGCACGTTCAATGCAAATCCCGCCGCCTCCATACACATTTAACACCGCCAACGTGCTCTGTATCAGCCAAAGCTCGTGCGAGTTGCGGCTGCTGAGCGCGTCAATCCTCCCGGGGCGGACCAACCCCCGACGTGACTGGAGAGTATCTCTATCTCCTATCTGTCCAACGCGCGGCGTTTCCTGCGCCACCCGCTCGGCGAGCACGTGACGCCCCTCTTCTGGGAGTGCGCTCCCCGATTGTCTCCGATCTGTAGCAGGTCCACAGTTGGCGTCGCTATCATCTTCCCTCTCCGAGTCCTGGGCGCTGCCCGTTGCTCCGTGTCCACTGGTACTGCTGTCGCTTCCCTCCGCGTTGCTTTCCTCGTCGGGATTGTCCGTCGGGATGGTGTTGTCCGCCCACTCGGCAGCGTTTGAGCCTCTGTCACCCTGCCTGCCGCGAGCTGCTAGCTCGTCGACGTAGTCGTTCCATTTGTTGCCGCTGTGACCCGCCACATGCCTCCACGTCACGGTGTGTTTGACGCGAAGGCGTCGCCAGAGGGAACGATGGCGCTCCGCTAGCTGTCTGTTCGTTTTGGGGGTCACCCGCCCCATCATGCATGCCGCCGCGCGTACTCGCTATCGCCTATCGCGTAGAGGGCCCACAGCGTCCTAATCTAAAATCTGAGGATTCAGGATTGAGGGCTTGCTTCAGTGAGGCCAAAGTGAGTTTATGGATGTGTGAGAACGGTACGGGACACGAGGAGGCACGCGGACCGTCTCGTCGGTGACTCTGCTGCACGCCGTTTCAGAATTTTTCTCAGCGTGAGCGAGACGTGGAAGAGTGCCACCGTCGGGTAGGACGGGTCGGCCCGGAGTATCAGAGTAGCCGTCGTGGTCGCGGCGAGCAGCGCCGGCCACTCCGGCGCTGCGTCGGCAACGTGGGAGCATGTCCACCGCCACTTCGCGGTCGCAGCGCTGTTTGTCGCCCGAAACGCCGCATGTACCTCTGGCGGGCCAAAGATCGACTCGCATGTCGATTTCGACTTGACGGCGGCATGGAGGCATCACGTCTCCATGCCGCCGTCAAGTCGGAGCCAGTCTGCGGCGACCACAGCGCTCGCAGGAGGTACATGCGAGCTATTCAGAGTCAAGCGATTGCGCGAAATCCCACACGGGTGGATTTTGGGGCGCTGTGGGTAAGGTAAGGTAAGGTAAACTTCTCCACACACACGAGGTGGTGGGGCAAGGGGGGGCAACCCTCGCGTCTCCACGTCTGACGACAGGAGCCCCACGGCATTCAAAGTGCAAGGCCCAGTGCGCGTGGGTGAGCGGTGTGTGTGTGTGTGTGTGTGTGTGTGTGTGTGTGTGTGTGTGTGTGTGTGTGTGTGTGTCACGTCACTGCATCCTCCGCCGGTTCCTCCCGTCGCCTCTTCTTTGTTCGAATGTTTTTCAATCCATCCTTCACGAAGCCCTCCCATGTAGCTAGCGTTCTTGGCGAATGTCTCGAAATGGCCAGCAGGCGCTGTCTGCTCGCGGTCTGTGCGGGCCGCTCGTCCTCCTCGCCCTTCTTTCGTCCTCCCGTCCCTCCCCTCCACCATGGCCTTCTCGGCACTTCTTTCTCCATCCGCCTCGCCCTGCCTTTTCGCATCGTGCCGTTTGCCCTCCATTCGGTGACCTCCATGGCTGTCCGCCCCTTTTTGGGTGGCGCTCTCGATACGGTTGCGTCAACCTCGACGTCGCTGTCGCCCTCCCCGTCCCCGCCGGCGTCCGTGCCTCGGTTCGCGTCATCGGTAGCGTCTCCGTTGTTCCCTCGTGCCCCGCCGTCGCCCTCTCTGCTCGGGCCGTTAGCGATTTCGCTCCTCCTGCGTGTCGCCCCTCCGTCCCCTCCCCTTTCTTCGTCGTCATCGTCGCTGTCGCGAAAGCCCTCCGGTCCAGTGGACCCCCTACTATCGGTCCGCACTACTCCGCGCGTGAGCCCGCTCGTTGCGGTGACGAGGATAGGAGAGCCCGACAGTCTCAGTCACGATAAAGCCGGATGCGAGACTCCGTGTCTTGCTCTTGGCGTTATGCTGCAGTGACCGGGCGTTGCTTCTTGTGATCAGAACACTTACCCCGGAGCCGGACGGACGGACACGAGCACACGAGTCTAAGAGCTGAACGCTGCTGAGACCTCATTGGCCACCGACGAAATATCATACCGTAGCTCCGTACAGTCAAGGCCCCGCTAAGACGGCGCACGCTGACGCTCGCACCATCCCGGCCAAGGCCAGGCTACCGGGCCGCTCGTACCTCGGAGACGGAGTGAAGGCTCCGGCGTGCCGTACTCGACCGCGTCGCCCTTCCGCAGCTCGAATTGAAGGAGCGCCGGCTGGCCACCACACCGGAGCCCGTGGTCCCTCACGACGCCCGAGCAGTTGATGTTGTTTGAGCACGCCGCCCACGCCGCGTGCAGCGTCGGGAAGCGGCTTGAAGCGCATCGGCCGCTTACGGTGTGGTCGTCCGTGAGCAGGTCTGGCAGGTTCGTGCCACGCATC